AAATCATCTTTCGATAGTTTTGAAAATTGATTGTTGATTCAAGAAGTTGAGCGATTTTGAAAGCGGGTTTGTCTCTTGTTCTTTTAAAATGATTTTATGGGTTTTGATCTTCGTTGATTCAAGAAAAGATGATTTTGGAGAGTTTTCTTTCAAAAGATTTGAGTTGTATAGTTTTGGTGAGAAAACCTAAAATTTGAGATTTTTTTTTAAGAGACTGAAAACCCATGAATAATATTGTTATATTTATTTTGTGTGTCAAAATAAATAGATGTTTGAAAATTTTCTTATTTATATTTATATAAATGATAAATTTCAGGGAATATGAGAATTATTGTTCATTTTGAAAATTATTGTTCAAAACGTTGAAATAGTATTGAAATGACTAATTGTTGAGAATACTTGAGAAGAGGGAATTGTATTATTCCTTGAATGATGAATTGAAATAAAAGTATTTATATTCATCTTATGTTATTGGCATAGAAATTCATTTGATTACATTAAACTTCGAAAGTTGATTTGAAAACTTGCAATGAAAAAAGAATGTTGAGAAACAAGTTTTCATGGAATGGTTTTGGGGTAGTACGTTGGTAAGTCTTGATAGGTGATGTAGACGATATTGAATAAGTTGGCCTGAGAGTCCGGGGTGAAAGGCTGAAAACCCGTATGGATAGGTGTCGAGCCTTCCGGTTAATACCGGTCAAAATAACAAATTGGTAGTACTTGTATAGTCTACTTGCAGACACCGACCTAGGGATTACTAAAGTCATATTTATCGCTCTTGAAATGAATTGTTAAGTTTTGAAGAATTGAAATTGCATGACATCATTGAGCATGAGAGTTTTCAAGGATGAAAATGTGATTTTCTTTCAAAAGAGCATAGCATGGGATGTGCATTTCATCTCTTGAGACTTGTATAAAATATATATACTTTGTTAAGGATTTCTTACAGGGCTTTATGCTCACCCTACGAGATTTTTGTGCAGAAAAAGATGTGGTGATGCCGCCTAACTAAAGACGAGAAAATGTGTGTTGAGAGTACGAGACTCTCATTTTGGCGTGACTTTGTGTGTAAGCCAAGGGCTGTATGTGTGTGGGTTTGAATAACCGTTTTGTATAACCAGGCTCAAGCCTTGGAAACTTGTAAACCCTTGGGGGTATTTATTTGTTTATTTACTTGTTGTTGGATTAATGTATTGTTGCATGAAGAACTATTGTATCATGTAATGTAAGTTTGGAGACTTGTATTCGGTTTTCCTTCAAAGAGTCATGATTGCTGTATTATCATTTGGGCTAGATATTTGGGGCGTTACAACTTGGTATCAGAGCTACCGGATTTGAATACTTAGAGCTCATGGGAAGTGGTTGTTTAACCAATACAAGAATGAAGTTAGCTAACCTTGAGATTACTCATTATTAAATTACCCTCTTATCAGAAAATCCATTGAAACATGAACAAAATTGCAAATCACCCAACTCATCTATACAAAAATGAAGTTGTTGGCTAACCCATAATGTAGGACAACAAATAAGAAAGAATAAGAAAAATGCTATCTGAAATCAGTTGCCCTACTGTTTTTGCCAACCAAAAAACATTATTGCCGCAAATTATTACTTTTATTTTAGGTCATGAAATTAGTTGACAACAATACATTTTGGGGGAGATTTTTTAGCAACAAATACCCTTCTTTAGAGAGAAAGGATCTTAATTATCGAAGGACCTTGATTTTTCAATTGCCCCACTTGTGCTTCGCGAAAAAGAAATTTCCAACATTACTCTAAGTGAAATGCCACCTAAATTAGGTTGTTTTTAAGGATGAGAGATTGGTAGTCTGAATCTTTATTCCTATATGTAATAGCATGAATAACGAAAGTGGTGAGCAAATTAAAAATTAAAATTTGTTTGTCATTTTATCGGATAATTATTTAATAATTTCAGAGTATAAATACATAGTACCCTGTAGTATTGTGATTCATAGAAAATATGGATAGATTGTATTGGGTGATTGAGAAATATAAATAATGAATAGATATATTGAATGATAATTGATTAAAGAGTACAGACACGTGATATTCCAAAAATATTTTTATAATTTCCCTTGTATCAAAAAATTTATCCTTAGCTCTACGTTGGGATCCTCTAGAGTGAATTTCTAGATTGATCCATGGATAGCCGACACGTGTCCCACTCAACTGCCAATGGCTGAGATTCAGCTTGAGTAATTTTGAAAAAAAAATTCAAAATTCAAATTTCTGGATTTTCAGAGAGTTAGAGAGAGAGAGAGAGAGAGAGAGAGAGAGAGAGAGAAAGAAGGGCTGAGAGAATGAGAGAAGAGGATCGCCGTCCCACCCCGCCCTGCCCCCGATGCGCTGCCGCCGCCGCCGCCGATGCCCTTCCCGCCATACTCCAAAGAATCACGATCTTCCCTCTCCTCTTCTTCATTCTCTCTTCAGTCTTCTTTCTCTTTTTGATAGATATGAGAGAGCTGACTCAATAATACGCTTGATTTGATCCACATGACAAGGTTTCTTGATGGATGGATCGATTTTGTGTTGTTGGACTTTGTGTTGTTTAATTGGGACAGAGTTTTGAGGTCTGGTAGGCTTCTGTCCAAAGATTGATAAAGATGACAAAGAGGTTTTCTTCTCATATATATATATATATATCCTAGATCTGGGCACAAACAAAACATAGGATTTTTGTGGCCCTCAAGGTTGGTTTTCTGAGATCTGGGCTAAAAGGGGCTAATTTATTTACAAACCTCTTTTGATCCTTTGGTATTTGAACAAATCTCCCCCAAACCTCTTAGATCTGGGTTTTCCTTGTCTTCTATAAAATTTTGATTTGTTCTTTGGTTTTGGTTAAGAAACAGGTTGATTTTCTTGTTGGTTTAAGTTCTTTGTAAATTTTTGGGTTGATTTTAGATTTGATCTTCTTCTTTGTTTTAGGTTGATTTTGTCACCATTTCAGTCAGATTCAGAGAAGAAGAAGAAGGGAATGGGAGGGATGGAACGACGTTGTTTTGGGAGGGATTGATCTCAACCCTTGATTCGATTAGTGGGACAAGTGTTGCGCTCTCATAAATTCACTCTACCAGATCACTCTAGAGGATCCCAACGCCGTCCAAAAACCTTCAAATAGAATAGATCGAAACGAATTGTGCAGATCAAATAAGCTAGACCCTAAGGCCCCGTTTGTTTAGGGTTATAGAGAGGGGATTAAGATTACTAATCCCTTGGCATTACTAATGGGGTGTTTGTTTTGAGAGATGGGGAGGGGACTATTAATCCTTTGGTATTAGTAGTCCCCTTGAAAGGGGGATTGGTAAGGAAGAGATAGAAATGGTATTAGAAAAATAGTAAGGGGATTAAAATTCTTTTTATATTGAGATTTTTTTTAAATATTAATGTTTATTTTTTTATATTTATTTATTTATTTATTATTTTATATAAAAATAATTTAACAATTTCTTACTATTAATCTCTTCATTATCAATCCCTTCTATTCTATCTCTGAAAACAAACGAGGCATAACATTACCCATTTATGAAACTCCACGGTATAATGGGTAAGGGCAAAGCAGGTCCCTACGAGTGGGTCCAGTTCAGGTGGGACCCACGAGCAAGGATCCTCTAGAGTGATTTTTTCCTAAAATTTCTTAGAGTGCTACATTGTGTGGTTGAGATTTACTGACAAGTCACATCAATTTTTCTGATGTGACTTACCAGTAAATCTCAACCACACAATGTAACACTCTAGGAAACTTTAGGAAAATTTCACTCTAGAGGATCCTTAGTGCACTATATTGAGCATAGAATTACAAACATTCTTCTCCTCCCTCACACTACAAAACGGCAGCAATATCTCTTTTCTTACTAACCACAAAATATATAACAAGTCCCCACAACCCACCGTTAATTCCATCAATCACATAAAAGGAAGGATTATTACAGTTTTTTTTTTTTTTGAGTGATTATAATATATTTTAATTTAAAAGTTTATGTTTGATTATTTGATGTATTTTTTATTTATAATTTATTAGATAGAAATAATTTCGTTTGGGTACAGACTAATTTAGTAATTTTTTGACTATTTGGCTAAAAAGGTAGGTAAAAAAAACTTATATGTTTGGGATGACTTTTTGGCTAATTACGAAAAGATGTGCAAAAAGTAGAGAGAAAAGAGAATCTTTGACTTTTTGGTATGGATTGTTGGCTTTTTGGCTAATTTAATAACTTTTTGGCTAATTGGCTAAAATAACCTCTTGCCAAACGAGGCCTAAATAAATAAAAGGAAAACTTCTCTCGAGGTTTGAAAAAAATACAATAAGACTTATAGTTTTTGTATAATTACATTGTGCTCCTTTAAAGTTTTAATTTATACAATACTTAGTTCTTTTTTTTTTTTTTTGGTGGAGTCAATGACCATATCCCACGTGTGTCTGGGGGTGGTGGGAGTGGGAGTTTATTGGGGATCTAAATCAAAGTTGTTTTAATTATTAATTTTTAATTTAAAATATTCCACCAAACAAGCCCAACATAACCCTCCCCACTTGGATACTTAGAGCATATGTATCAAATTTTTCAAAATCATTTTTTAGCTAAAAACTACAAAAAAATCAACTCAATCAAATTCGCTTACAGCTTGTCAAAATTTAAGATCACTACAATAACTCATTACAATAAACGAGATATTGTTTATCACTATTTGTGTGTTATCGGATATCCGCTCGGTTAACTGCAAATTTTTTTTTTTTGACTTTTTTTAGGAATTGTTTGATTAATAACTTATCAATTTAATAAAAAAAGAAAGACTAACAAATATAATAAGAAAATAATATTTTATAAAAATAAATTAAAATAAAAATTTAATATAATAAATACTTGAATAGTTAAAATAATAAAATAATTTTAATTTAACTAAAAAAATTAAAGAGTTTGGCGTGCATACTCTTACACTCTGCATCCCCCCTCCCTCTCTCTAAAAAAAAAAAAAAATTACTTTAGTGACACAAAAACACAGCTCAGCTGTTTGCTGCTGTCGCCTTCTTTCTTTCTTTCTTTCTTTCTTTCTCACTCTGTTGGGCACAGTTCTTTCTCTCCCAAAATAAAAGAAGTATAGAATAAAGTGCAAAGGGGAGATAAGAGGGGAAAAAAGGCCATTGCTCAAGGGAAGGGAAGGGAAAGGAAGGAGAGAGGTTCATTTTGATGGGTTTGAAGCTTGTAATGTGGAACTTGTTGGTGGTGGAGGTGGTGTTATTGTGTTCATGGGTTTGTTGTTGTACAGCCTCTGTATCATATGACACTAATGCCATTATCATAAATGGCCAAAGGAAGATCCTCATTTCTGGATCCATTCACTACCCTCGTAGCACTCCTGAGGTATATCACTTTATCATTCTGCTTCCTTCATTCTTCTCTCTCTCTGATTTTCCATTTTTTTTTCTCTCTTCCCTCAATTTGTTTGTTTTGGGCATCTTTCTTTCTCTCTACTCTATTTAAGTGCTTGTCACTTGGGTTCTCACTATACTTTCTTCATTTTTCTGTCCAGAATGTTATTTTGGGGTATAAATTTTGATGGGTTTGTTGCAGATGTGGCCAGATCTTATTCGGAAGGCAAAAGAAGGAGGTTTGGATGTAATCCAGACCTATGTTTTCTGGAATGGCCATGAACCTCAACCTAACAAAGTAAATTTCTTCCCTTTTTTTTTTTGTTTTTTCTATTTTCTGTTAATTTTCCAATGCTGAAATGTATAAATTTACATAATTTTTTAGATAATAATATATTTTGCTTGTTCATGTTTGTAGTATCATTTTGAGGGGAGGTATGATCTGGTCAAATTTATCAAGCTGGTGAAACGAGAAGGTCTCTATGTTCATCTCAGGATTGGGCCCTACGCTTGTGCTGAATGGAACTTTGGGTAATGCTAAAAATTTGTGATTTCAATGATAAAAAAATAAATAAATTGCAATTATCCTTAATTTAGCAAATATTTTTATTTTTTTTGTTCAATGCAGGGGCTTTCCTGTTTGGCTCAAGTATGTTCCAGGTATCAGTTTCAGAACAGATAATGAGCCTTTCAAGGTGACTTTTGCAAATGAATTTTCCATTTTCTATTTCTATTCCATTGATTGGATTTACTTAACTGTAAACTTTGATTCTGATGTCTAAATTGTTGAAATGAAGGCTGCAATGCAAAAATTTACAACAAAAATCGTCGATATAATGAAAGCTGAAAGGTTATATGAGTCTCAAGGTGGTCCAATAATTCTATCGCAGGTAGTCAAACTAGTCCATTTTTATTCTTTCCCTTTGTCTCAATGAATTGAACCCAATTCAAAATGTTTCTTTAGTGAATTATTGAGTAAAACTAGGAATCAAATTGAGAGAAGTATGAAGTATGGTTCTGCATAAATGTATGTGACAGATTGAGAATGAATATGGCCCCATGGAGTATGAACTCGGTGCTCCTGGTCAAGCTTACACGAAATGGGTGGCTCAAATGGCTGTTGGTCTGGGCACTGGAGTCCCGTGGGTCATGTGCAAGCAAGATGATGTCCCAGATCCCATTGTAAGTGTCACCACTTTTTGTGATTTTTTTTTTTTTTTTAATTTTTACTTTTCTTGTCATGTTCTTATAGCGATCTCAGTGGTTTTCATGTTATGTTCCTCATCCTCAGTGGGGTTGCTATGAAAACAATGTGTTTATTGTTCCCTTGTGTGGTCTTTAATGATATGAATTTTTTTCTCCTCTGCACATGGCTGGGCTTTATGCTGCCTCACTCACTCCTATCTGTTATGTTTTGTCTTTATCTTTATGTATTATGGTCGCTTTGAATTCTGTACTTGTTGATTCATGACCATATCTCTCATTGTTAATTTAATCACTTCTATTTCAACTTCCATGTTAGTGGTGGTGTATATAAACAATACCATTTATTTATTTATTAATTATTTTTTTCTGTTTTCTGGTCTTAAAGTTGAAAAAGAAGTAATAATTTATCTAGCCTGATGTTGTGATGTCAATGTACTTATTAGTCTTTTATTTCCGGCTAATGTGTTTCCATAGATTTTAATATTTTATTACCTTGTATCTTAGTTTTGTTCACCATGCACAGATAAACACTTGCAATGGTTTTTATTGTGATTACTTCTCCCCGAATAAAGCCTACAAACCCAAGATGTGGACGGAAGCCTGGACTGGCTGGTAAACTTGCACGTTTCTTACTTTATCGTATCTCCAAGAACCCAGTTTAAAATGTGTTTCCAAATAATGTGTTTTTCAAAATACAGATTTTGAAAACGAAACCAAACAGAGAAAATGCATTTCCCAACTGGCTACCCCCTTTAATTTTTTTTTCTCCAGGTTCACCGAGTTTGGAGGTGCAGTTCCTTACCGTCCTTTGAAGACTTAGCATTTTCAGTTGCACGGTTTATACAAAAGGGCGGATCTTTTATTAACTATTATATGGTAAGTCAATTGTTTGTTGTATTTCCCTAGTGAATCCAATCCTTGTATGAATTCAACTAAAAAAATTTGTTGATCGGTTTATCTGTTTTTCTGCTTCCAGTATCATGGAGGAACAAACTTTGGCAGAACTTCCGGTGGTCCTTTTATTGCCACTAGCTATGATTATGATGCTCCACTCGACGAATTTGGTATGCAGATAGTATCATAATCTTAGAGTCATGTTTGTCTCAAAATTGTTTGTGTAGCATGTGGCCAATAGTTTGAGTGTAAATGAATATAAATTAACTGATGTGTACTATTCTAACTATAATTTTAAGTAAGGAAAGGTGGGGCTTAAATTTCTTTAAGTTTTTCTATAGGAAATAACTGATTCAATTGCCAGCCTCTGTCACCATACTACGTTCTCCATATCATCGTGGGATTGCTACTGTCATTTCACAAAAAGCAAGGGGTCAGCTTGTAATTTAGCCGGGTCTTTTTTTTTTTTTTAAAAAAAGCAATAGCTATATCCCTCCATAATGGTGATGTTGTTAGTGGTTATGATGGTGATCAAATTGATTAGAGAAGCTGAATTTTATCAGTTGATGGGGGACTCAACATGAAAGTTAAAGTTTGACAATAAAATGATTGCAACAGTCATGTTAATAGCTTCTCTACAATCATTTTCATCATGACTTGTGAAAAAATGTCATTCCTTTTCCTGATAGGGAGATGTAGATGGCTCAAGAAAGTTGCCATAAAATTTTAAATATTATATGTTCTTCAGTAAACTTAAGGGTTATTTCCTCTTTTGGTCTAGGACTATTAAGGCAACCCAAATGGGGTCATTTGAAAGATTTGCATAGAGCGATAAAGTTGTGTGAACCGGCTTTAGTATCAGGAGATCCCACTGTGATCCCTCTTGGGAACTATCAGGAGGTTAGATTTACAATCATTCTCTGAGAACCATTTATCTTATCTCATTCTTGTGTTGAAAATAAATGTCATTTCTTCCTATAATCGTTCCATGTAGGCTCATGTTTTCAAGTCAAAATCTGGAGATTGTGCTGCGTTCCTTGCAAACTACAATTCTAATTCCTTTGCAAAGTTGGCTTTTGGGAATATGCACTACAACCTGCCTCCTTGGTCCATCAGCATTCTTCCCGACTGCAAGAACACTGTTTATAACACTGCAAGGGTGAGAAAAGGACCTCTTAATTAAATATTTCATTGAATTTATTTGAGTGTGTACATCAGGAGCTATGATATGAAGCATGGATAATTCTAAAAAGGAGTTGTATCCATCTCGTACTTGTATTGGATACCAATACTCCTGGGATACATATCAGATACTTCCTAAACGTATCCGATATAGGATACTTTTTGGACACTCTATGTCACGTATCCAAACTATTATGAAATTGGGATTGCAATAATTTTTGCCATATTAGAGTATCATTGTTAGGATAAATACAAGAATAGTTTGTCAATATTTTCTATTTCTTATTGAAGAAGAAAATAGTGCTATTAGTACCCTACTTTTCTAGATTTTATCAAATTAACTTGTTCACTTAAAATGAAATAAACTAACTATTGGCTCTTAAAATAATATCTAATACTATATAAAAATATATAATAATAATAAAAAAATTCAATGTGTTCTTGCCGTAACTGTATCTTATTGTTTTAGATTTTATGTAGCACCATATTCGTATTGTATCATATCCATATCCGTGCTTTATGGGTCAGGAGTGATCGTTATTCTTTTCCATTTGAAATATTTCCAATAAACAAGATATTGACATCAAGTTGAAATTATATGCAGGTAGGCGCTCAAAGTGCACATATGAAGATGACTCCTGTTATTTATAATACAGGATTCTCTTGGCAATCTTACAATGAAGAGCCAGCAGCCTCTTATGATGACAATTCTTTTACAATGGTTGGATTGTTGGAACAAATTAATATCACCCGGGATGCTTCTGATTACCTGTGGTATATGACAGAGTGCGTGTCCATATAACTCTACATGGTCTCATTTTTCTTAAACATATTTGATGAAAAAACTTTCCAATAAAAATTATTTTTCCGCCACATTAGTCTCTCATTGTGTTAATGATATTTTTCCTCTCATAACCAGTGTCAGGATTGACCCATATGAAGGATTTTTGAGGAGTGGGAATTATCCTGTTCTGACAGTGTTCTCTGCTGGTCATGCTTTGCATGTTTTCATCAACGGTCAATTATCAGGTGGGCAACACAACCAAACCAAACCAAGCCTTAAGTCTCATCAAATGGGGTCGGCTACATAAATTCTTCTTCTCCACGCGGCCTATCAATGCATTGGATATTATTGGTGTATTCAATGCATTTTTATTTTATTTTTTTTTGGGGGGGGGGGATCTGTCAAGGGCTATATGCTTAGTTAAATCCCCCTAAGGGTCTATTTGATTAGAAATAAATAAATGTAGGAAAGTGAAAGTGGAAGTGAAAGAAAATATTTATATATTAAAAAAAAAGAAAGATACTGAAGTGAATTGACAGAAAAGAAATACAAAAGAACAATATACTTCTCTCTCTCTCTCTCTCTCACACACACACACACACACAAATCAAGGAAATAGAGAGCAATTAAGAATTCTAGTTATAAATAACTACTTTTATGAACAAATTTAAGCTTTCGTATATTTTCTTGTGTTTTTTGCAAGAAACTAAAAGCTTAGTTACCATGCTAATATGAGTTGTACAAGAAAGTTAATTTTCTATTAACTTCCTCCACTTCATGTTAAACAAACTTAGAAAAAGTTTATTTTTTTTTCATTTCCCTCACTTTCCACTACTTTCATCCTAACCAAACTTAGCCTAAGTTAGTAGCACCTAGTAAAATTTCTTTAAGTTGTTACAATAGATTATTATGATCTTGAAATCTAGCTCATGTAATAAAGCATACACAATTGATGCCATTCTTCCTTGATCTTGATCTTGATCTTGTTTCCTTTCAGAAAGTAGGACTACTTTCTGCAACAAGTTTATATCTGGACAACTTCTACTGATATCCTTCTCAAATTTTCGGTCCTACCTTTGGCAGGAACTGCTTATGGAAGTTTAGAAGACCCAAAATTAACATTTAGTGATGGTGTGAATCTGAGAGGTGGTATAAACAACATTGTCCTGCTAAGCATTGCTGTTGGTCTCCCGGTTTGTTTTTTCTCTCTGTCTCTCATGCACACACATAGAAACTTTGCATGTGCACAAGAACAGAAGACTCGGACAAATAATATTCTACTTAACAAACGTGTTTGGTGCTAGTCTGAAGTTAATTTTTCTGTGCTTTTTGGCTGCCTTTGTTATGAGCAGAATATTGGCCCACATTTTGAGACATGGAATGCCGGCGTTCTTGGCCCAGTTTCACTGAATGGTCTAAATGAAGGGAGGAGGGACCTATCATGGCAAAATTGGTCTTACAAGGTTTTTCTTGAAATAATTTTCAATCTTATTTCATCTCTCTACATACTAGATAGTTTTTTTGACCTCGTGTTCTTAATCAGATTGGTCTAAAAGGAGAAGCATTGAGTCTTCATTCACTCAGTGGAAGTTCCTCTGTTGAGTGGGTTGAAGGTTCTTTATTGGCACAAAGGCAGTCACTGACATGGTACAAGGTGAGATTGTCAGCCAAGGCTTCTCTCTTACTTATCTTCTCTTTTCTTGCAAACAAAAATCATTCACATTGTGTTTGGATTATGGATTTGGGTAATGATTTGGAAAGAGAAAGGAAAAGTTGAGGAAAATGGAGAAAAATTTAGCTTATATTTCATTCATGTTTCCTGTGCCTTTCATTATCCCTTTCTTTTTCTAAATCCCTATCCAAATCCATGATCTAAACACAACCCAAATAAGAAATGTAGTGCATCATACATCTGAAGTGAATATTTTCTATGCAATAATACTTCAACAGAACAGCATGCATCTAAATTCCACTTAAAAAACCTTCTTTTACTGGGCTTCTAAAGCTAGAATTGACATTTTCTTTTCATGCTTCCAGACCACTTTTAATGCTCCTGATGGAGATGAACCTTTGGCTTTGGATATGGATAGCATGGGGAAAGGTCAAATATGGTTAAACGGTCAAAGTGTTGGACGCTACTGGCCTGGATACAAAGCTTCTGGTACTTGTGGTGCCTGTAATTATACTGGTTGGTTTGATGAGAAGAAATGCCTAAATAATTGCGGTGAGGCTTCCCAAAGATGGTAAGCTCAAAAGCAACTTGCGGTGGAACTTTCTTGGGACAACTGCTTATCAATAATGGAGTAGTCTAAAAATAATTGCACTACACATGGGAAACTTTTGGGTGCAAGTCTGACACGCAAGAAAGGACTTGTAACACAAGAAAGGATCTGCACCAAACACATAACAGACTTGCAGCTCATGAAAATGCAATTTTTTTTTTTCCCCACTGTCCAATTGATTTTGGATTTCCCAACTTTTTTAAAATAGTCAACTGACTAACCAGTGGGTGATAATTTCAGGTATCATGTACCTCGTTCGTGGTTGTATCCTGCAGGGAATTTGTTGGTTGTGTTTGAAGAATGGGGTGGAAACCCTTATGGAATTTCTTTAGTGAAGAGAGAAATAGAAAGTGTATGTGCTGATATATTTGAGTGGCAGCCAACTTTAGTGAATTGGCAGATGCAAGCCTCTGGTAAAGTTAATAAACCTCTAAGACCTAAAGCTCACTTGTGGTGTGCCCCTGGTCAGAAGATCTCGTCAATTAAATTCGCTAGCTTCGGAACGCCAAAAGGGGCTTGTGGAAGCTTCAGTCAGGGGAGCTGTCATGCTTATCATTCTTATGACGCTTTTGAAAAGGTATACTTATATGTTGCATTAAGTTGTGCCTTCTTTTTGTATAGTTAATGAGTTTGTGTCATTGACTTGGTTTATGAAAATCCTTTATTGGTTTAACTGGATTAGGAAATCAGTGTATAATTAATTTAATATAAAAAAAGAAAAAAAAAAAAAAAAGCACTCAACTGTTTCTATGAACTTCGTGATTTATCCAAGACTCTGCAAATTTCTTTATGATCCCATCCTTCAACCCAAATGAAGGGTTTTCCAGAAAAATGTTGAATACTGTCTCATCACCAACTGCAAATGACTTTTATATTTTTTTCACCTGTTAGACAGACCTTGATCACCAACTGCAAATGACTTTTATATTTTTTTCACCTGTTAGACAGACCTTGAGATTTGTCTGAATCACAATTTGGAATTAATTTAATTCAAGTTCATGAAGCAATCATGTTATAGGGGAATTTAAGGACATTCAGTGAAGAGTTTTATTATCCAATGACTTAATTCATTAATCTTTTATTGCAGTACTGCATTGGGCAGCAATCATGCTCGGTACCTGTGGTGCCTGAGGCTTTTGGAGGAGATCCGTGTCCAAATGTCATGAAGAAACTTTCTGTGGAAGCTGTTTGCAGCTGACAACACAGAAAACATGAAAAGAAGGTCCTACTTTTGTTCTTTAACACCCGTCATACAAATTCACAAATAAGTTTTTACTAAATTCATCAAAGATCGAGGCAAGCATTTTTTGGTTTTGCCAGGGTGAAGTTGTAGAACGTACAAAACACCATTTGGTTCAAAACCCATATAAATTATGGAGATGATTATGAGGTTTTTTGTACATAAAATAGCTATTGTCTGTTAGAAGCACGTTGAGACACGGTAAAATCGTCCATGTGCAAATGTTTAATTGCTTTATTAGTCTTGAAGACAGACATGTAAGCTCTTGGCTTTCATTGAGTTCAGAATTTTGTTTTCTTATGGACCTTTCTTCCCTGGAAGCATTGTTTCATTGCTTTGGAATTGTAATAAACATCAAGCTTCTCAATTTTTGTCTGAAATTGACTTGGCATTTGTATTGTGCTTGAATTTATCAGATAAAAATTAGACTGTATTGAGAGCATTGTTTGAGATGGTATGGTCATGTGCATCATATGTCAATTAACATACTTGCAAGAACTAAAGAGGAAAGATTTCAATCCATGTGAAGGGTCAGAAATAGAGGAAGGTGAAGGATGGCAAGGGTTGATTTTATACAGGACATGATACCTAACCTAACTGAAGATATACTTCAAATATTATATTAATTGAGCTTGTTCACATGAAGAATTTTGATATTGTTTCTATTTTTCATTCTTGAACTCCAATTTGTTTTATGGTCTTGTTAATGAGGCCATTGGTTAAGAATGTTCGAACTAGTTGCTTACATCTTGCTATTTTTTGCACATCCCAAAATGGAAATAGTAGTACAATCATGTACACCAAAGAGAAAAATTACAAAATTTATGTAATTTAGCATAATTTGTCTACATCCATGGGAAAGAAATAATTCACTAAACTATAGGGAATACAACTATGGGACCAAAAACACCCAGAACGCGACACCAATACTTTGGTAATGAAACAATACCAAGAGTAACTGAGTCTCAAAGTTGTCATATTTTTCTCTCTCCTATCTCTCCTAACGCTGTGCTTGGTTGGAAGATTTGGAGAGGGATTTGGAAAGGAAAAAGGAAAATGTGTGTAAAACTAAGTGAAATATAGATATATTTTATTCACATTTCATCTAACTTTTTCCTTTCTCTTTTCAAATCCCTCCTCAAATCTTTCAACCAAACGCAACATAAATGTCTACTTCCCTCTCAATTTCACACCTCTATCCCTAGTTTTCTATTTATTGGCAAACCATAGAAATTCTAGTCCCATATAATTAATAAAACTCGACACATTGGATTCCTTGTGAATTCAAGATTGTATAACCTAATCCAAATAAATACATATTAAAAAAAAATCAATTATTGTATGGATCCCATAGAATACAAAACATAAACTAACAATCTTTATACTGATTTGAATTCTGCAAACTACGTTGAAAACAACTAATGCTGATGTCAATTATGCAAATCCATCACACTTCGCATCAAGATAGTAACACCCATATATACTGTATTTGGTTGGGAGATTTGAAAAGAAATTTGGAAAGAAAAAGAGAAAATATAGGTGAAATAAAAATAAAATATATCTATATTTCACCTACTTACACATGTCTTTTCTCTTTCCATTTTTAAATCCCTTCCCAAATTTCCTAACTCAACACAGCATTAAGGTGTTAGACTAATGTGATTCCATCTCTCTGCGCGCAGTGCTAGAGAAATCACCGCACTAATCAGACCTAGAGTGACAACTCCACTTTGTCACAACATTCTTATAAACCTGTATAGGTTACCAATCGTGTCTAATCAATGAAATTGTTGTCTAATTGACTCCACCTATAACTAAAACTCAAGTTGCACCCACTGGTGATTGGTTTTTCACCTTTGATTGAACCAAAATGTTCTTGACCAACCCTGATCATTCACGATCAAACCTAATCGCCTTTAATCGATCTTAATCTCCACTAATTGTGTTCAATCTTGTCAATCTATTTAGAATACAAAAAATTTGATCATAATGATGATAAAACAATGTTTTGGAGCTCTAATAGCTGTAATGGAGTGTGGGTCTCACTGTGATAGTGATGTTTGTGTCTTGTGTTTTTTTTTTTTTACTTTTTATGTCATTAGAGCTCATTAATTTAGAGGGATGTATCATTGTTGATGTTTGGATATCTAGGAGAGAAGAGAAAAAAATTGCCTACTTGATCAAGAAAGTAAAAGAAAAGAAAAGGAAAGAAAAGAAAAGAAGGGCCCTAAACCCTAATTCTAACCTCTTCATTTTTAAAAACATACACTTGCCATTTTCTTTTTGGAGACAGGTCCAAAACTAAACCTTTTTTTTTTTTAATTTGGTTGTAGTTGGATTCTATATATACATGAACAATTCACTTTAATTCTTAAAATTTCAGAATCGTTAAAACCAATTCAAATCTTGAATTTACATAAGATTGAGCCAATCCAAACCATATACACCCTTATTGATGAAGATATTTCTAGTCATCAACTTTAATTTTTCATTTATTTTTAAATTCACCTATTTGTATTGCCATCATGAAGCCACTCTCAATATTTGATGACAAGTGTTATTCGAGCTTTTATTTTCACACTCAAAACATAGGTTATCTGTGCATACACAAATTAATTTTTTTTCTTCCTCAAAACATACATATTTATATATGAAAAATATAAAAAATTACCTATAAATCTTATCTAGAGGAATGATAATCCATTTAGTCCCAAATTTTTTTATAAACCAATTAGTTTTATTGATTTTGAAAAGATAGATTTAATATATTATTTGAAAATTGGATTTACGACTATACTCTTATTTTTATTATATTTCCTTCTTTATTTTTTATTTTTTTGTTCTTTTGTGTCAGAAAGATAAGATACACAATATATGAGAATCAAATTTGGGATAAATTTTTATATGAAAATCTTTTTTATTTGGAAAATATTTCAAAAGGAGTACAAAAATTACTTGAAATATGGGATTCTTCCTGTCACGTCCCAAGCTCCGTGACAACGCCGCACACTCATTTAAGTGAGCATGCAAGGCTAAGAGTCCAACACATAACCAACAATGTAAAATACTCCAATTAAAGCCTTAATTATCATAATGCTAAAATCCATAAAAATTGATTATTCTTATCATATGAACTTATCCACCAAGTCCACTAATAAAATCCATTAACAAAAAAAATAATCCAAGTACTTAAATCATAGTCCTACTCTCGGTACTCCCACATGTAAAAAAAAATCCCGCGCAGCTCTACTCTTCAGAATCTAAAAAATAAAATAAAATAAGGGTAAGCTAGACAGCCTAGTAAATAACCAACCATCACTGCCAGCTGGATCAAGTATATCAAAAAGAAGTAAATAAATAGTCGATAACCAATAAATATAATTTTTGATACAAATCAATAAATGACACGATTATTTGTAAGATGGTTTCTTAGCTGAAAATAAACAGTGTAGCAATACATTTTAATTAAAAGTCAATGGGGTAACTCGATGAAATTTCGTTATCCAAAATTGATAGATCGATATTCAGATGGTTCAATGATCGATTCACAAAACCCAAGTCTTAATGACTAAGGTCACTTAGCCCGTGACAAGGCCCAGAACCACACATAGGCTAGTGGTAAAGCCCCAAAAGAAACTAGTTTTTGTGCCAATAAATAACCCCCATTGGCTAGGGTCCAAATCATAGTCAGACTAGAGTGATGTTCAAAATTCACACAATACACAAATTTTAAATAAAACATTCGATATTTTCATAATAAACGTTTAGTATAATTTTCAGAATAGTTTCACCGAATATTCAAATAATTTTCATAATAATATTCGATGTTGTTTTATACTTGACCCATATTTTATTTTAAGAGAACAGGAAAGCTACGAATAAATATTTATGATTTTAAAAGATTCGATAGGATTAAAAATAAACCAACAGTAATAGAGGGTTATTTACCTCAAACGCTTAAAATAACATTCCAATACTAACTCTAAACACCCAGCTCCACCACTTCAATCACACAAACCTAATAAAATATTATACCACATAAACAATTATTATTGGTCACCATGATGCATCTATCATTCTTTTCTTTATAATATAATAATCTAATAATATAGTCTACAAGTAAAATCCAAAACCCCAAACCTCAAACCCCAAAATACAGCTTCCTCAATCTTCAAGACTTCATCTATTCTATTGTTATTTTTTTTTTTTTACATATATAAACCCATAGTTGTTAGAAGTCAAAGCCAATAGGATTGCTTATCACATATCAGACCCAAACACGCACACCCAAACCACATACCAGATACTTATAGAAAGGAATAGTTAGGAGTACCATAAAAAAAATCTTACCTCCAAGAGATGATTAGATCAAAATCACCAATCTATGAATCTTCTTTCTTTTCTTTTCTTCTTCCTGTTTTTTTTTTTTTTACTACTCCTAAATCTGCTGCAGCAGCCACAACATCCAATACCTCTATTTGTTTGTGCTTATATGTTTCCAAGACCATAAGCCCAAGTGGGCTTATAACCCAATCTCCCAAAATTACAAACTTAACCATCTAAGTAATAAAAATTATGAAGCCACCTCATAACTAATTCCTTGATAGTACTAAATGACCCATATAAATTAATTTAACTATTACTTTATTCAAAAAATAATTCTACACATAAAAATTTGGATTTTACATCCTTCCCCACTTAAAAGAAATTTCATCCTCGAAATTTGACATACCTAGAGTCTTAAAAAGTTGTGGATACTTTCGTTTCATTTCATCCTCAAGTTCCCAAGTAGCTTCTCTTTCCGAGTGATTACTCCATTGAACCTTAACGTAGTGAATGACACGACGCCTCAAAACCTGTTCCTTCCTATCAACACCTCGTATAGGGTGTTCCATATAAGTCAAATCCTCCTTAAACTGCAACGGTGCATGATCAATCACATGACTAGGATCCGGTATATACTTCCTTAACATTGAGACATGAAAACATTATGAACTCCAGCTAGTGAAGGTGGTAGAGCAAGTCTATAAGCTACCTCTCTAATTCGATCTAAAACCTCAAATGGTCCAACAAATCTAGGACTCAGTTTACCACGAACACCAAACCTTATTACTCATTTCATAGGAGACACCTTAAGGAACACATGGTCTCCAACCCCAAACACCAAATCGCGTCTCATGTTATCTACATAACTTTTCTGTTTACTCTGTGCAGTGTGAAGTCGCTCTCTAACAAGATTGATCTTGTCCACTGTTTGTTGCACAATCTCAGGCCCTAACAACTTCCTTTCGCCCACATCATCCCAACAAATAGGTGATCTACACTTCCGTCCATATAAAGCCTCATATGGTGCCATCTGAATGCTCGCATGATAACTATTATTATAAGAGAATTCCATTAAGGCCAAATGCTCATCCCAAGAACCTCCAAGATCAATAACACAAGCCCTTAACATGTCTTCCAAGGTTTGAATAGTTCTCTCTGACTGTCCATTAGTTTGAGGATGAAAGGCAGTGCTAAAATTCAAACTAGTACCCAAAGCTGCATGCAAACTCCTCCAAAACATAGATACAAATCTGCTATCTCTGTCCGACACTATGGTCATCGGAATACCATGCAACCTCACAATCTCTTTGATATACAGTTTTGCAAACCTCTCTAAGGAGAACCCCACCTTAAAAGCTAGAAAGTGAGCGGATTTGGTCAATCGATCAACGATAACCCAAATAGCATTGTTACCACCTTGGGTCCTAGGCAACCCTGTCACAAAATCCATGGTAATATGTTCTCACTTCCACTCGGAAATAGGTAAAGGTTGTAACTTACCTGCAGGTCTCTGATGTTCAACTTTCACTTGTTGACATACCAAACATTGAGCAACATGCTGAGCAATTTCCCTCTTCATATTATTCCACCAAAAGTTCATCTTCAAGTCTTTATACATTTTAGTGCTCCCTGGGTGTACCGTATATCCTGAACTGTGAGCTTCTTTCAAGATTTCTCTCTTGAGCTCCAAATCATTAGGCACACACAACCTCTCTCCAAACCTCAAGGTTCCATCTTTATGCTTACAAAATTCTATTTGTAGCCCTATTTCCATTTCAGCTTTAAGTTTTTGCAACTGAGGATCTCTTCCTTGAGCATCTTTAATTCTATCAATCAATATGGGTTGAACCCTAAGGTTTGCCAACTGCACTCCATGGTTATGCCATTTAATCTCAATATTCAACCTCTGCAAGTCCTCCAAGATATTCTTTTGGTCAGTGATCAAGGTAGCCAAATTACTCGGGGTCTTTCTACTCAAGGCATCCGCCACTGCATTGGCTTTTCCTGGATGATAATTAATAGTCAAATCATAATCCTTTAATAGCTCCAACCATCTCCTTTGCCTCATATTCAATTCTTTTTGAGTGAAAATATACTTCAAACTTTTATGATCAGTGAATATCTCACATTTCACCCCATACAGGTAGTGCCTCCAGATTTTCAATGCAAACACCACGGCAGCCAACTCCAAATTATGCGTAGGATAATTCTGCTCATATGGCTTCAACTGCCTAGATGCATATGCCACTACCTTATCATTCTGCATCAGGACACAACCCAAGCCCATCTTCGATGCATCACTATAGATGGTAAAACCTTCATCTCCGGACGGAACTGTAAGTACTGGAGCACACACCAATCGCCTCTTTAGATCTTGGAAACTCTTCTCACAATCATCAGACCACTCAAATTTAACCCCTTTTTGTGTTAAACGAGTTAAAGGCATAGAAATTCGGGAAAATTCCTCAACAAACCTTCTGTAATATCTTGCTAAACCCAAGAAGTTACGAATTTCAATGACACTAGTAGGCCGATTCCACTCCACCACCGCCTCCACTTTCTTGGGGTCAACAGACACCCCATCTTTAGATATCACATGACCCAAAAATGATACACTCTCCAACCAAAATCCACACTTCTTTAATTTAGCAAATAACTTCTTCTCCATTAATATCTGCAACACTATTCTCAGATGTTCTTCGTGCTGCTCTTTACTCTTCGAGTACACAAGAATGTCATCAATAAAAACTACCACAAATTGATCTAAGAAGGGTTTAAATACTCTGTTCATTAAATCCATAAAAGCTGCAGGCGTATTGGTCAACCCAAATGGCATCACTAAAAATTCATAATGCCCATATCTAGTTTGGAAGGCTGTCTTAGGTATATCTTCCGCCTTAACCTTCAACTGATGATAGCCAGAACGAAGGTCAATCTTAGAAAAGACTTGTGCTCCTTGCAATTGATCAAATAGGTCATCTATCCTAGGCAAAAGATATTTATTTCGGATTATCACCTTGTTCAATTCTCGATAATCAATGCAAAGGCGAAAACTACCATCTTTCTTTTTCACAAATAAAACGGGCGCGCCCCAAGGAGAAACACTAGGCCTAATAAAGCCCTTGTCTAGTAACTCTTGTAACTGTTCCTTCAACTTTTTCAACTCTGCTGCGGCCATCCGATACGGAGCCTTGGAAATAAGACCCGTACCGGGTATCAATTCAATGGCAAACTCAATCTCTCTATCTAGTGGCAACCCCGGTAACTCTTCAGGAAAAACATCGGGAAATTCCTTCACAATTAGAATATCCTCTAACTTCAATTCAGTCTCACGGGTATCTCTCACAGAAGCTAAATAGCCCTCGCACCCATTCCTTAACAACCGTCTAGCTTGCAAAGCTGAGATTACCAAAAGAGGAGTGTTAACTCCACTACCCACAAAACAAAATTCTGGTTGATTAGGAATCTGAAATACTACCTTTTTGCCTCGACAATCCACAGAAGCATAATTGGTTGCCAACCAATCTATTCCAAGAATTATGTCAAAGTCCCGCATATCTAAAACAGTTAAGTCTACAAGCAATTTCCTGTCATCTATACTAACCACACGAGATTTGCAAATTAAGTCAGCAACCATAACCCCTCCTATCGGGGTTTCAACACATAAGTCGATCTCTCTAGAGACACATCTCCATCCATGTTTCTTAACAAATCCCATAGACACAAATGAATTTGTAGCGCCAGAATCAAATAACACATGTGCATAAACAGAAGACACTAAAACAGTACCTGACACCACCGTGTTGGAAGTTTGAACATCTTGTTGCGTGAGTGCGTACACTCGACCCTGAGTTTTTGGCTTATGACCTCCATTTTTCTTTTGACTTCCTGAAGACCCTTTGTCTGTTGATGCTCCTTTATTTGCCCATGTCTTTCGTTCAATCTCATGCCCCTTCCGGTTAGGGCAATCAGCTATCCTATGCCCTTGTTGCCCGCAAGAGAAACAAGCCCCAGTATTCCAACGACACTCACTATCTCGATGGAATCCATTACACCTAGTGCATTGTACCCGATCATTCTTCTTATCAACACTACTACCCATAGTTCGACTTCCCCAACTCCCAACCAAAGAAGTGTTTTGTCTCTTAGCATTGCCCTTCAAACTGTTAGTTTGGAAGTTGGAAGAACTAGGCCTCTTCTTTCTCTTCTTGGGCTCTAGTGAGGCCACTCTCAACCAACAAAGCCTTATTCAACACTTCTCCGAAAGTAGGTAACTCGAAAGGAACCACCTGTTGCATAATGTTCGTTCTTAGCCCACTTTCAAACTTTCGTGCTCTGCTATCCTCATCTGTTTCAAATGCTGATGCAAATTTAGACAACTTCGTAAACTCAGCTTCATATTCTGCAACCGTCTTATTCCCTTGCTTTAACCTCAAAAATTCCCTTTGTTTTTGTAGACGAACACTCCTAGGGAAATATTTCTCATTGAATGCATTTTTAAACCTTTCCCATGTATAGGGGTTGGCATCATGCTCGTGTATGCGCTTCTCCATCTGCCACCAATCATTAGCTATCCCTTGTAGCATAAACGTAGCATAGGTCACCTTCTGATCATCCGTACACTCAAAAACAGGAAACAACTTTTCCATTTCTGTCAACCATTTTTCAGCCTCCAAAGGGTCTGTGGCTCTGTCAAATGCCAGGGCTATCTTCTTAAACTCAGTAATGTTACAACGTGGCCTTGGTTGTGGCCCAACGCCTAGCTGCATCCGCTGTTGTTGCTCCATAAGTCTAGTCAAGTTATTCCCTATGGTGGTTTGTTGTTGCACCACCCCGACCAACGTCTGAAGCACTTGAACCATTTCAATTGGATTGGGGATTGCAACTTGTTCTTGTTGTCCCAACTCTTGCCCCTGATTTCCTCCGACTGCTTGAGAACCACTACCATTATTAGTCACGTTCCCTCACCGATTGTTACTACCAGTCCGTCGATTCATTTGACCCTGACGTGTGTTCCTAGCCATATTTGCCAATGTCTCCTCATGTTCCATCGCAACCTAAATGCATCAATAATAAAATCTCATCTTATTCTATTCTCAAGCTCCTATAACATAAAAAAAATAATAATAAAATTAACATTATATCAAATTATAAGCGTTCCCAATCCTACATCTACCCAATCTCATCACTATTCTATACCAGCCTTTAAAATTACAACCTGGCTCTGATACCACTAAATTGTCACGTCCCAAGCTCCGTGACAACGCCACACACTCATTTAAGTGAGCATGCAAGGCTAAGAGTCCAACACATAACCAACAATGTAAAATACTCCAATTAAATCCTTAATTATCATAATGCTAAAATCCATAAAAATTGATTATTCTTATCATATGAATTTATCCACCAAGTCCACTAATAAAATCCATTAACAAAAAAAATAATCCAAGTACTTAAATCATAGTCCTACTCTCGGCACTCCCACATGTAAAAAAAAATCCCGCGCAGCTCTACTCTTCAGAATCTGAAAAAAATAAAATAAGGGTAAGCTAGACACTCGTATAAATAACCAACCATCACTGCCAGCTAGATCAAGTATATCAAAAAGAAGTAAATAAATAGTCGATAACCAATAAATATAATTTTTGATACAAATCAATAAATGACACGATTATTTGTAAGATGGTTTCATAGCTGAAAATAAACAGTGTAGCAATACATTTTAATTAAAAGTCAATGGGGTAACTCGATGAAATTTCGTTATCCAAAATTGATATATCGATATTCAGATGGTTCTCTAGAGACACATTTCCATCCATGTTTCTCAACAAATCCCATAGACA